CACAGCCCCCACCATGTCTCTGAGGGTCTCAGGCGCCCCCTCACAGCCCCCACCATGTCTCTGAGGGTCTCAGGCGCCCCCTCACAGCCCCCACCATGTCTCTGAGGGTCTCAGGCGCCCCCTCACAGCCCCCACCATGTCTCTGAGGGTCTCAGGCGCCCCCTCACAGCCCCCACCATGTCTCTGAGGGTCTCAGGCGCCCCCTCACAGCCCCCACCATGTCTCTGAGGGTCTCAGGCGCCCCCTTAACCGCGGCGATGTAGCAGGTGTCGGCGGCCCCAGGGGGGCACCAGGAGGCCACGACGCTCATGCGCTTGAGCTGCGACGAGAAGTGGTGCCTCGTCAGGATCTTCAGGCCCCCCGACCTGGCCTTCCGGGGCCCCACGCTGTTACCTGTAGAGTACAATTACTGTAACGTGTTACCTGTACACGGGGAGTACAGTTACTGTAACGTGTTACCTGTATACGGGGAGTACATTACCACGGCCCCAGCTGTTACCTGTACACGGGGAGTACAGTTACTGTAATGTATGCTTACCATGGCTCCACACTGTTACCTGCATGGGGCATGGTTTACAGTTACTCTAAAAGTGATATTACCTGAACTGTATGAATAATTAACATATATGTTATATATACTACGCTATATATAACATAGGCCTAGTATATAGGCACTACTGATGCCTTGCCCTTAGTCAGCGTCCAGTATATACGCTATATACAACACATGCCTATAGTATAGGCACTACTGATGCCTTGCCTTTAGTGAGCGTCCAGTATATACGCTATATATAACACATGCTTATAGTATAGGCACTACAGATGCCTTGCCTTTAGTCAGCGTCCAGTATATACGCTATATATAACACATGCCTATAGTATAGGCACTACTGCTGCCTTGCCTTTAGTCAGCGTCCAGTATATACGCTATATATAACACATGCCTATGGTATAGGCACTACTGATGCCTTGCCTTTAGTGAGCGTCCAGTCTAGGGCGACGAGGGCGGCTTTCTCCATGGGGTCGCCCACGACGCCGTCCTCCAGACACACCAGCGAGTGACACACTGCAGCCACCTGCGCGTTATCTTGTGTTATCTTGTGATAACGTTATCTTGTGTTATCTTGTGATGTGTAACGTTATCTCGCGTTATCTTGTGATGTGTAACGTTATCTCGCGTTATCTTGTGATGTGTAACGTTATCTGGCGTTATCTTGTGATGTGTAACGTTATCTGGCGTTATCTTGTGATATTTTATGATATGTAACGTTATCTGGCGTTATCTTGTGATATGTAGCGTTATCTTGTAATATTTTATGATATGTAACGTTATCTTGTGATAACGTTGTCTTGTGTTATCTTGTGATATGTAACGTTATCTTGCGTTATCTTGTAATATTTTATGATATGTAACGTTATCTTGTGATAACGTTGTCTTGTGTTATCTTGTGATGTGTAACGTTATCTTGTGATGTGTAACGTTATCTGGCGTTGTGATATGTAACGTTAAGTTACGTTGTGATATGTTACATCGCGTTATGGTGTCATGGTATACGTTACATTACATCAAGTTACGAAATAATAAGTTACTTTATGATGACACATCACGTGGGTCAGCATGACTCACTTGTAGTGTGCAGCACGTGGGTCAGCATGACTCACTTGTATAGTGTGCAGCACGTGGGTCAGCATGACTCACTTGTATAGTGTGCAGCACGTGGGTCAGCATGACTCACTTGTATGGTGTGCAGCACGTGGGTCAGCATGACTCACTTGTATGGTGTGCAGCACGTGGGTCAGCATGACTCACTTGTATGGTGTGTAGGGGGGCGTCAGTGATGGCTATCACGTCGCTGCTGCCGCTGTGAACGAAGTATTTAATTTTAATTAAGTTCATCGTAAGTCATCACAGCCAACGATGAATGCTATATTATATTATACTAAATACTAAATATATATTATTAATAATTAGTAAACATATTATTACTAAATAGTGAATATATTATTAATTAATACTAAATTTATTAGTACTACTAAATATTAAACATTTTATTACTAAATACTAAACATACTATTACTAAATAATAAATATATTATTACTGAATAATATATACCTATATTTTTAAAATTATATGACGATTGCGCCTTGTTACTTGTTATGGACCGAACAGCTGTTAAAAAGATAGTAACGTTGCCTGTAACAAGTATCATAAGCTACAATAGAAATTCATTACAATTTGTACACACTGTAATGAATTTGTTTGCACCATAACTACGTGTCACTCTAGACATGCTGCACCTCTCACTCAAGATGCACTATACCGCTAACCCTTGACCCGACACTCTACACCAGTGGTTCCCAAAGTGGGCGATATCGCCCCCCTAGGGGCGATGGAAAGATTTTGGGGGGCGGTAAAGAAGAAGAGGGCGTTTGGGGGGCGATGGGGGGTAGGTAGTCCGAAGTCGAAGTCAGAAGTTCGAACGTTTGTTTGACGATTTGTACACAACACGTGCAGCACATAACTCCCAGCGATGGTTTTTTCACCCAGATCTGTTATTTTAACCTCTCCTGGGTTTACGTCTTGGACAAATTAACGGCCAGACTCGCGGCCGATCTCACGGCCAATTTCCAATTCAATGATCAAGAAATATCTCTCAAACTAATGAACTTAACTCGATGAAACTTGGTACACGTATTCATTAGGACCTAACGGTAATGTTAAGCTCGTGATTTTTTTTATTTTGCCTTCATTTGTTTTTGCCATAGTTATATGGCTTTACGGGCCGAAATTCACAGTACCGGGTAATCAAGATTTTTTTTTTCCAAACTATTGAGCAGATTCGAACGAAATTTTGAATTTACAGTCCTAACTACCGAACGTTAATGTTTAGCTCATGATTCGATTACGCCTTTGTTCACGAGTTTTTTTTTTCAATTTCACCTANTCACTCTAGCCCCTGACTCACTCTAGCCCCTGACTCACTCTAGCCCCTGACTCACTCTAGCCCCTGACTCACTCTAGCCCCTGACTCACTCTAGCCCCTGACTCACTCTAGCCCCTGACTCACTCTAGCCCCTGACTCACTCTAGCCCCTGACTCACTCTAGCCCCTGACTCACTCTAGCCCCTGACTCACTCTAGCCCCTGACTCACTCTAGCCCCTGACTCACTCTAGCCCCTGACTCACTCTAGCCCCTGACTCACTCTAGCCCCTGACTCACTCTAGCCCCTGACTCACTCTAGCCCCTGACTCACTCTAGCCCCTGACTCACTCTAGCCCCTGACTCACTCTAGCCCCTGACTCACTCTAGCCCCTGACTCACTCTAGCCCCTGACTCACTCTAGCCCCTGACTCACTCTAGCCCCTGACTCACTCTAGCCCCTGACTCACTCTAGCCCCTGACTCACTCTAGCCCCTGACTCACTCTAGCCCCTGACTCACTCTAGCCCCTGACTCACTCTAGCCCCTGACTCACTCTAGCCCCTGACTCACTCTAGCCCCTGACTCACTCTAGCCCCTGACTCACTCTAGCCCCTGACTCACTCTAGCCCCTGACTCACTCTAGCCCCTGACTCACTCTAGCCCGGCTATGCCCTCGACCACCAGGTCGTCGCTGGTGAGCGTGCCGGTCTTGTCGAAGCAGCAGACCTGGAGCTTGCCGGCGAAGGGGATCCTGAATAATTAGTATCAATATAGTTATCACTATTTATTATTACTATATATCACTATTTATTATCACTTTATAATATAGTTATCACCGAAGGGGATAGTGACAAAGCATAAAATTTTTTTAGACTCTCCCTCAAGTTCATTTTCGAGTCATATTAGTAGACCAGTTAATTATCATGGATACCAGCATTATCATTCTTAAGAAATTGGTTAAAATTTTAAGCAAATTTGGAAATTATAAATGAACTGATTCTAAAAAAAGCTCAGGGGCCATACTTTCAAAATTCGCTAAGTGAACATAAGTACTTACGCTCTATTTTCTTGTCTATGATTGGTGGATTTTGCATTAAAGGCCGTCAATGATTGGCTGATGAACTTACGATCTCTTAACTTTTTTTGAAAGTATAGGCCCTGGGTAAGTAGTTACGCTCTATTTCCTTGTCTGTGATTGGTGGATTTTGCTTGAAAGGCCGTCAATGATTGGCTGATGAACTTACGATATTTTAACTTTTTTTGAAAGTATAGGCCCTGATTCTAAAAAAGTTCTGGTATGCCACTATGCCTGAAGGGTTCGGTGCAGTAGACCAGGAGGCGGTCATACCTAAGAAATTGGTTAAAATTTTAAGCAAATGAAGAAATTATAAATGAACTGATTCTAAAAAAGCTCAGGTTTGTCACTATGCCTGAAGGGTTCGGTGCAGTAAACCAGGAGGCGGGCCAGAGACAAGAGGGACGTGTTCACGGCCAGGGACAACTCGATGGGCAGCTCGGGGGGCACCACTGACGTCAGGATCAGCGTGCACTCCAGGAACAGCTTGTAGCGGTTACGATCTGGGTCCTCGCAACCTGCACGGCATTGGAACTATCATAATCAAAACACATCACCATTGCAGTCATCACAATAAAAAATTATCACAATCCCACCATCGAAGTCATCACCATTACAATGATCGATCACCATTGAAGTCATCACCATCAAAGTCATCATCATCAAAGTAATCGCCATCACGATGATCGATCACTATCGAAGTGATCGTCATAAGAATGATCACCAGACCCAGACATGACCTGTTATTGACCCACCTTTGACCCGTTTTTGACCCACCTTTGACCCGTTATTGACCCACCTTTGACCCGTCCATGACCCACCTTTGACCCAGACATAAGCAGCAGCAGCAACAGCAAACACCAGCAGGAACATGATGAAGACAAAAGTCTTTAACCTTTACCCAGACATGACCCGGTAATGACCCACCCCTGACCCATCAATGACCCATCAATGACCCACCTTTGACCCACCCATGACCCACCTTTGACCCGTTAATGACCCACCTTTGACCCAGACATGACCCGTTATTGACCCACCTTTGACCCGTCAATGACCCACCTTTGACCCAGACATAAGCAGCAGCAGCAACAGCGAACACCAGCAGGAACATGATGAAGACAAATGTCTTTAACCTTGACCCAGACATGACCCGGTATTGACCCACCTTTGACCCAGACATGACCCGGTATTGACCCACCTTTGACCCAGACATGACCCGTTAATGACCCACCCCTGACCCGTTAATGACCTAACCCTTGACCCAGACATGACCCGGTATTGACCCACCTTTGACCCAGACATGACCCGGTAATGACCCACCTTTGACCCAGACATGACCCGTTAATGACCCACCTTTGACCCGTTAATGACCCACCTTTGACCCGTCATTGACCCACCTTTGACCCGTTATTGACCCACCTTTGACCCAGACATAAGCAGCAGCAGCAACAGCGAACACCAGCAGAAACATGATGAAGACAAATGTCTCGAAGTTGTTGGCGGTGACGCGGCTCACCGAGTACAGGATCGTGCGCAGCAGCCGCCCCTGCGAGCTACCGAAGCTCGTGCGCAACACGTAGCAGATCACGCCGTTGTCGGGGGCTGCGGGGGGCACGGGGTTTTAGTTGCGGGGGATATGGGGTGTGTTTAGGGGGGCATCTAATGGGTAGATCACGCCGTTGTCGGGGGCTGTGGGGGCAGGGAGGTGCGGAGGGGGAACATAGAGGGTGTGAGGTGTAGGGTAATATGGGGGAAAGAGAAGTTGTGGGGTTTGGGTTATGGGGGAAATGAGGAGTTGAGTTGTGGGAGAGGTGGAGCAAGATGAGTTCTGGGGGAGATGGGATTAGAGAATGAAGTTGTGGGGGACATGAGGGGATTGATTTATGGGGGATGACGGTTTCATTGGTGCAGCGAGCAGCATGGCTTGTGTAAAGCTGTCATACAGGCAAATAACGTTGAAGTAACGTTAATTACGTGTTCGTTTTGTTGAAATAACTTAATTAGCGATATCAACTGGAGGAAAATAAGGATCTATATGAAATGAGTCGTTAGCTGGAGCCCCTTGGCAGGTGCCACTTGGCAGGTGCCACGGGACCCACCTTTAAGCAGCGCCTGGGTCTTGGCAGGTGCCACTTGGCAGGTGCCACGGGACCCACCTTTAAGCAGCGCCTGGGTCTTGGCAGGTGCCACGTGACCCACCTTTAAGCAGCGCCTGGGTCTTGGCAGGTGCCATGTGCTGCACGAGTTTGGTGCCGCCGTACAGCAGGTGCCACTTGGCAGGTGCCACGTGACCCACCTTTAAGCAGCGTCTGGGTCTTGGCAGGTGCCACGTGACCCACCTTTAAGCAGCGCCTGGGTCTTGGCAGGTGCCACGTGCTGCACGAGTTTAGTGCCGCCGTACAGCAGGTGCAGTTTGCCGTCGCTGGTCAGGTCCAGGGGACGCTGCAGGTCCACGCCCTCGATGCTCTCCTTCATCTGCGGCACGCTCTCCCCTGCAAGTAAAGGTAACAAATAAACATTTATTCAACAAATAAAGGTTAATAAATCTGGTAACAAATAGTAAAACTCTGTGAAATATTAGTTTTAAATTACTGTGTTAAGGGACGCTCTTCCGTCTGCAGAAGGCTATACCCCCTGCAGGTAAAGTTAATTCGTTAACATGCAACAGCGCACGCAGTTCAAGGTCACAGTTCTGACGTTCCGATGCCTTCACGGTCTGGCGCCTCCTTATTTCACGGAAGGTCTACAGCGCGTGTTAAATCAGCCTTCTATAAGACGATTCCCTAGACGATTCTAGCCCTAGACGATCTGCCTTTTAGAAGACGATTCCCTAGACGATTCTAGCCCAGACGATCTGCCTTCTAGAAGACGAATGCGTTCGTCATCAACAGCGGATATCGTCGTACCATCTACACGTCTACCTCGTCGTACCATCTACACGTCTACCTCGTCGTACCATCTACACTTCTGCCTCGTCGTACCATCTACACGTCTACCTCGTCGTACCATATACACGTCTACCTCGTACCATCTACACGTCTACCTAGTCGTACCATCTACACGCTGTCTCTTATACACATCTAGATGTGTATAAGAGACAGGTGGTGACATCAGTATGAGTGGTGACATCAGCGTGAGTGGTGTGAAGAACCACAAACAAATAATCTTATGAGAACATTGCTGCACTAATTTAGTCACCATGTTTGTCTTATTCAACGAGCCACAGTCAGCATGTTGAAAAATAAACAAGCCATATCACGCCTTACTTAAAATAAGTTAAATACCGTAGTTAAAAATTTAATACTTAAAAGGTAAATAGTGTAGTTAGTTAGTTAAATAGTTCAGGATTAACCTGTGCACAATTATTGTTCTTTCACTGACCTCAAGACTAAGAGGTCTCATGATGACAGCAATTCAATTTAAATCTAACACAGGTTCTAAAGCCAATAACCTCAAATATAAAAAAAAATTTCCTCATATATAAAAAAATTAAGGCATCATTTTCTTATTGATAGAAAACAATTTCTTGCAATATATGCGAAGCGAGTTATTTTAATCATTTTTAAAATTTATCTTTATTTGGAGTGAAGCGGCGCACCTGGAAGACGAAGAATGGGGCCGTAGCGCGCTCCTTGAACAGCTCCAGGAACTCTGGCACGTCCATCACCAGGCTGTTGACATATGTTGACATAGAGGGAGTTATGTCACCAGGCTGTTGACATAGAGGGAGTTATGTCACCAGGCTGTTGACATATCTTGACATAGAGGGAGTTATGTCACCAGGCTGTTGACATATGTTGACATAGAAGGTTTTAAGTCACAAGACGGTTAACTAATTATGTATCACCGCATGAAACTTTGATTTGTTGGAAGTTAGTAAAAATTTAAAGGTTTGAAACTTGCAGTACAGGTTGTAGACAGGTTGTTACTATGCCATGACCAGAACTAATGGTCTAACTATGCCATGACCAGAACTTGTGGTCTAACTATGCCATGACCAGAACTATCACCCGTCAACACGCCTGTCAACTCACCCGTCAACACGCCTGTCAACTCACCCGTCAACACGCCTGTCAACTCACCCGTCAACGCGCCTGTCAACTCACCCGTCAACATGCTCTCGTCCAGCACGGCAGGGCCGCGCAGCAGCAGCAGGTCACAGGGTACGATGGTCTCGGCCGACGCGCCGCTGCCGGTGCCACGACTTACGCTCACGATGTCACCTGGCAACAGCTCTGTTGACAGCACGCTGCGCCACTTGCCAAGCCTGTGTACCTGTTGACATAAGCAACAGCTCTGTTGACAGCACGCTGCGCCACTTGCCAAGCCGGTGCCTCAGAGAGAGAGAGCTGCTAGGCAATAACTAAAGCGTCTAAGAGAGAGCTACTAGGCAATAACTAACAATATACTATAATAATAACTAACAATAACGAACAACTACTTGATCTCATTCACAATGTATAAATAATGAATGTGTGACCTGAATGTTGGACGGTTTGTTGCCCATCTTGCGTATCTCTTGCATGTTGCGGAGCTGCTGCTGCACCAGCGTGCACTCGAACACTATCAGCATGAAGAGCGTGAAGAGTGAGTAGTACCAGTACTCGTCCAGACACCACAGCCCCACGCAGAATACCTGCACACCATCAGCGTGAGTGGTGTGAGTGGTGTCATCAGCGTGAGTGGTGTCATCAGTGTGAGTGGTGTCATCAGTGTGAGTGGTGTCATCAGATGGTCTAACTATGCCATGACCAGAACTTGTGGTCTAACTATGCCATGACCAGAACTAATGGTCTAACTATGCCATGACCAGAACTTGTATTGCCTGAAAGCCAATGGTCTAACTGTCTTATAACCAGAACTCCGGGCCCAACTATGCACACGACCAGAACTAGTGTTCTAACTGTCCCATAACCAGAGCTCCGGGCCCAACTATGCACACGACCTGTTCTTGCCATACTGCAGCAGCGCCTCGTTGATCTGGTCCTCGGAGGTGAAGCCCTTGCTGTTCATGTACTGGTGCAGGGGGAGGTCCACAGGGTACTGGAGGGCCACAAACTGCTTGCGCTCCCCACCATCCCACACGTACTTGCTCTTCTGGAACACAAACCACAGGCTTGTGTGCCCCGTGCTGTCCTGCGGTACAAACTTTATTTTAGCTAATTTAAAAATTTGATACATTTTAACAAATTATAATGATAATGCATTCCATAATAACAATGCAGGTGCATTATTCCAGGGTGTGTACCGGTAGTTAGAACAAAAATTCCATGACTTTTCCATGACGTGCATGGTTCTGGTAATCTTTGAATGTCAACTGAAAAGAAAGTAGTCAGCACAGCAGAACCAAACTTTGCCAGAACATGTACAAGATGTGTATCAAACCTGCGCATCCACTTGTATACTTATTTGATCTCATAATTTTATAATGAATCCATTTTTCTCCACTGGTGCCAAATGGAACCGCTCGTCATTAAAGAGTTAACACACACAGCGCAGAAAACACTTCATTTTTTTCTTGATTTATTTGCAAATTCCATGACTTTCCATAACCTAAAATGGAATCCCATGACTTTCCAGGCCTGGAAAATAAAAAATCAAATTCCATGACTTTCCAGGTTTTCCATGACCAGTACCTACGCACCCTGTGGCTCTTAATACTGTCGAGAAATCATTGCAGCATCAAATAGTGAATTCTACCCACATTCACATTTTGTAAAATGATGAATCATAATATCTCAAAATTATACATTCAAATGTTGATTTCAGTGTCACTATTTGTTAAATTGTTTGTAATGAAGGATGAAGATTTTCCCCCAAAATTATTTCTAGCATTATTAATAAAAAATATAATATTAATAAACTGAAACACTGAATAATGTTCAGTATTTTATATAAAATAATCAAGAGGCTGAGAAGAATCAAGCAGACTTCAGATGGAGAAGTAACCAGAGCAATTCTTTCTGTTATCCAAACTGCATCGAGGACACACAACATGGCTTTCAGGCAATACAAAAGCACTTTCAGGACCATCAATTGTAAGAAATGTTTGGCAAAACCTTCAAGTTTGGTTGATAAGCATTGCGTGACTGAAATAATTACAGCATTTGATGCCTTACGTACACCAGTTAATTTAAACACACAGATACAAGGCATCATGCATCCCAAAATATCCATAAATAAAAATAAGTGCGCAATTCTCAAGAGGATAAAAAATTTCCAGTGAGCTCCCCCTAGACCCATATACTGTACCACAAAGCCTAACATCTAAAATGTGAATTCTGTGCTTAGCATTACATTTAACAAACTAAAGAGAACAATAACTTAATGTGAAGAACTAAAATATTATATTTATTCTTAAAATTAATAAAAAACTAGCATAATATATACAAGAGAACCTTGGCGTGTAACCAGTAAATTTTTTATAGTATATACCTATTCTATCTTAGTTAGACTCAACCTCAACAAACTATTCTATAAAGACCAAGCACTAATAAAATATTGTTGTATTAAAGATATAGGTAGGTACACTATGGCACAATGGCAGCCATTTCATATAAGATTTTATCTAAGGAACTATAGTAAAATACCTACTACAACTTCTAGCACAATTCAGTGCCTCAAGTATGATCAGTTTTTGTGTCCACACAAAGAGCACTCAAGTTCTCATTAATATACACTGAGTACTAAGCTGTGAATGCGGAGGAGAGCCTCACCAAGGTGCGTCGGAGGGACACAATCTCAGCCGAGCCGTTGTTGGGCAGCGGCACCACCTTGGCCACCGTGGCCTGCTCAGCAGCCTCAACCTGGGCCATCACAACAATCATTTAGTATATCATCACATCCATATATATAATCAAAGCATCTAGCATCTATCACACAGCCCTCCTCTCCTTCTCTTGAATGTTACAGGGAATCCACCTAATTACCATTGTTGAATGATCAACCACATATGGAAAAACTTATCAATTTTAACCCTTTAACTCGCAATGATTACATAATTCTGAAGTCAGTTTATGAGAAAATGCATCTTATTTGACCATGAGATACATATTGTTAGTAAATGGTGACAATTCCAAGTAAATTTGTGATCACCTTACATAATTTATTGTGTATTTACCAGGAAATGGCTTCTGAAAAATACCATCTCACTTTAATATGAGGTCTGACATAAGATGGAGCCACCTCACCTTGATGGTGAGGTGGCTTTCTGACGAATCACTAGTGAATTGGTTAGTGTGTGCAAGATTAACTCTTAGAATATCATTTAAATGCAATGAAAAGAGGTACCTTGCGGCATGTGAGGAGGCACCGCACATGCACAGACCAGTGGCAGAAGAGGCATGTGAGGATCTGCACACAAGCTATGCCCGAGAAAATGATGAGGCCCGCCTCAAAGTGGTCTGAGATGCCATATACAAAAATCCAGAACCACGCCCAAACTGCGGGAAATTGATTGCGGGAAAAATCTAAATTGATAAACTCAAGCATAATTCCTATTTGTTTTTGACGGTTGTTTTTCCATCATAAGTGAGCATTAATACAAATCATTATTGTTATTTTCAACTATACCAATAGATATTATTTGCTTTTACTCACCCGAGTACAAAAATATGAAAGGGAAGATGTAACCATGCAGAAGCAATGGCCTGGGGATGTACAGTCCAACTGAATCAATGAGCTCGTCATTTGAAGATATTCTTTTGTTGGGCATTATTGTTAAACATTACTATCTACATGTACCCTGTATCAATTAAAGGTTTTAAATAAGCCTTAACATATTCATATACATTCAAAATAGACCAGGAAATTGTTCTGTTCTTCAGGCAACCAAGAAAATACATATTATATACTGGTACCTAACACAGAATGTTCCTATGAAGGAAATCACCTGTTTACTGTTTCGAATTATTTGCTCAAACCTGGTTTTTCTCATACTAAATGTTAGTGAGAATTATCCATGCATTTTGTCAAAATAAATTACAAGTGAAAAAATTCAACATTTGATCAATTTTTTTAGACTGGTTAGTTCTTCAGCATGCAATAAGTAGGTAGTATAATGAAATTTAATTTGTGAGATATATCTATATCACAATTCTAACAAGTTAGAGTACAACAATACATAGGATTGAGCCTAAATCACTTGCACATTAAAATGGACATCAAAATGCTTGACTGAGCCATTCATGATTTAGATGATCTAAATTAATTTAATTACTTTATTCATTATAATCTCAATTTTCTCTCATGACTGTAATTCCTAGAAAAATTTTCACAGATAGACTTAGCTTCAGACTAGGAGCTAAGGGGGGGAATGGGGAAATCCACGCAAGTTTGAGTTTTTACCTTTTACTTCAAAATTCTTTGATTAGGGGATGCATTTACAACTTTAATGATAAATTAGTAGCATGAACACATATCAAGTACTTGATGTTAGCAATCAATGTCATGTGACTTTTGTAATCCATACATTTATTTGATTGGAAAAAATGGAATGATCTTGTCTCAAAGCAATCTTGAATGATGTATATAACCAAATTATAATTTATTTAACAAGTTTACTTGATAAGAGAGATACTTTTGAAGTTTCACAATGTTACCAGCCTCAAAATCCATGCAGAATCATAGATTTTAAATATATTTTAGTCACTTAACACTTGAAACTTGATTCCAATACTGCTTTTCATTTTGAACCAAGTCAAATTTATCATCTGTTGAGCTGTTGGTGCTGCTGGTTGACGCTGTTTTTTGTTTACTTAGCAAGCATTTGCATCATGGTAGGTGGTGCTTGTGTGCTGTGAGCTGTGGTGCAGCCTGTGAAGGAGCATGGATTGGTCAAATAACTCAAAATACTATGTTTCTTATATTATATATATAGTCAGATGGGGTAAGACAGGACCGAAATCACTAACAAGCCTGTAGCATCTATACCATGAATAACTAAAAAACCCTAAACCTATCACAAGGTGTAGTTATGCAATGGGCTTCTAAGCTACAACTCAGACCTTTTGCATCTAACATAGTTTTCTGCAAAGATTAAAAAAAGTGAGCTGGTCCCATCTTACCCCTTTGGGGTAAGATGGGACCAGGCTGGGGTAAGAAAGGACTAACTGTTAATTCTTATGTTACAAGGTTTTTAATAAAAGTAAAATATGATATTCAATATTATCCATCTAGAAACACATTATTTGATTAAACAACCACTTGTTACTGTTTTGTGTTGCGGGAAGTCAACTCTAATATCAGTCACATTGAAGTTTTTGTCACGAGAAAACTTTGTTAAGCATAGAAATAGTAGGTTGGCTTTGATTCATTGTAGAGCACTGCCAAATGCTACATGTATGTTCCATTAGTGTCATTGTCTGAAAATTTATCAAATTGGTAATAAAACCAATGGATAATAACTTAAGTGTCAGACGTCATGTGTTTTCATGCTAACTGCATTTTTGGTGCACTTCTTCAAACATAGCCCATGCTTTCTCACAAAATTATGATAACAATTATTTTTTATGTTTCACACAACGATTTTTCCCCCAACCACTCTTGCACATAGTTCTGCAGCTCACTAATGGGAAGAGACATCCCTATTTTCTCCATCCCCAAGATGCAATTCACAATAGTATGCTAAATTTATCTAATTAAAAAAGCTAACAAGTTAAAATGAAGTTTGAGCAAAAGATAAAAATTTTGACCAAAAATACTCCATGTACTACACAATAATATATTCATTTAAAAACTATTTTTGATAAACTGTAGGGGAATAGAGGACCATTTGTGGGGCAAGACAGGACCATTTGTGGGGTAAGATAGGACCACTTGTGGGGTAAAATAGGATCATTTAGTGGTCCTGGCTTACCCCATGTCTGGTCCTTTTTAACCCCATTTTAGAATAGTTGTCAGGCAGTGATGGTAGCAGGTAGGAATGCATAGTATGTCTAAAAAATTGCCTATTACTTGAGGTTACCTGCCTACATCTACAAACCTGGCCAAAAAATTTTTTGTCATCAGACAGAGCTTATTTCCCAAACAGGGTTAACTATTTTGTGACCCTTCTTTACATAGGTTTTCTTTAAAAATTAGCCAGTAATTCATTATTTGCAGAAGAGGGTTGAAACAAACACTGAAATGACAGGCAATGATTGCTCTACCATATTCTTTTGTCAAATTGAATTCAGTGCAATTAGAATGCACACCATGGGCTGGTCCTTTCTTACCCCATGAAGGCTGCGATCCTGTCTTACCCCATTTGACTATACCTATAGAATTGCACCCTGTAACCACCATGCAATTGTGCTGGGGTATAGGGATGCAGAAATGGCCAATTTGTGGACAATTTCGTGGTCAGACTGACAGACATCAACTCTAAAAAGTTGAGGCCACATGCCACTACATGCCAACCAACATAGGTAGGTAGTGGCAAACCAGAGATTTTTGAGAATCAGTTCATTTTTAATTTCTTCATCTATTGAATATTTTAATCAATTTTTTATACAGGATATGTTGATATCTATGGTTCCATTCTAGATGAATTCTTAATTACCATTGACTTGGGAAATTTCTGAGCACACTGCTAAGAAAAACAATATCTGCACACTGATATTAAATTACAGTGTCAACTTCTTCCCCCACATTGTAATTAGTACTGAATGACTTACACCAGTGGCTCCCAAACTTTTTCAGGCTGGCGCCCCCTTTGGCTCCCTAGTGAATTTCTAGCGCCCCCCACCGACATATAAAAACATACGCCTCTTTCTTGAAATTTAGTACGCTGTAATTTTAAAACATAATGGTTAAACACAAATGTGTATTTCAAAAATAGAACCCCATTTAGCAAACCAATATGTATTTCAGCTGCGTTAACTGTTTCAGAACTAGAAACCTAGGATGTCTCGGGCAAATTTACGGCCGGACTCGCGGCCGGTCTCCCTGCCAATCTCCAAATTCAGTGACCACGAATATCTCCCAAACTAAAGAACGCAGCTCAATGAAACTTGGAACATGTATTCATCAGAACCTAACGGTGATGTTTAGCTCGTGAAAATTTGTTGCATTTCACCTTCATTCGTGAATTATATTGCGATACAGGCCGAAATTCGCAGTGATTAAAGAATTTCGTCCTAACTACTGAAAAAATTTGAACAAAATTTTGAATAAATATTCCTAACTACCAAACGGGGATTTTATTTTTTGTTCAACTTACAATCAATTTTTCAATTTCGCCTTCGTTTGCGAGTTTTTTTCATTTCATTTCACCGTCATTCTTGATTTCACACTTCCTTAGATTTGCCTCGCATCGCCGGGTATTTTGATTATCGCCGCACCGGGTATAATTTCTTCTAAACTACTGAAGAGATTTCAACAAAATTTTGTATGTAAATACCTTACTTCCCAACGGTGATGTTTAGCTCGTGACAATTTTTATAATTTGCTTTTGTTATCGAGTTATATAGATATAGGAGAAACGACAGGCTTTTCTATCGGCCGGTTTAACCAAGAGCCGTTTACGTATATAGCCGTATACGTATAGCCATATAACTCGCAAACGGAGACAAAATCGGAAAAAAATTGTAACAAGCTAAATATCATCGTTGTTGAGGTTAGGTTTTGAAATACTAAGTTTCGTTCAAATCTGTTCAGTAGTTTGGAAGAAATTTCTTGATTACTGCGAATTTAAGCACATCTTGCCGTTTAAATCACGAATGTAGGTGAAATTGAAAAAAACTCGCGAACGAAGGCAAAATAAAAAAAAAATTCAGGAGCTAAACATTACTGTTTGGTAGTAAGGACTGTAAATTTAAAATTTCGTTAGAATCTGTTCAGTAGTTTGGAAGAAACTCCTTGATCGCTGTGAATTTCGGCTCGTATCGCCATATAACTCACAAATGAACGCAAAATTAAAAATAATTTCACGTGCTACGCATTACCATTAGGTCCTAATGAATACGTGTACCAAATTTCATCGAGTTACGTTCATTAGTTTGAGAGATATTCCTTGATCGTTTGTTGATTTTGGAAATTGGCCGTGAGACCGGCCGTTAATTTGTCCAAGACGTAAACCCAGGGCAAGTCAAAAAAACAGATCTGAGTGAAAAAAAAACATCGCTGGGAGTCCGGCTGCAAGTGTTGTGTATAAATCGTCAAACAAACGCTCAAACTTCTGACTGCCGCCCCCTATCGCCCCCCTATGGCCCTCTTCTTCCATACCGCCCCCCAAAATTTTTCCACCGCCCCTAGGGGGGCGATATCGCCCACTTTGGGAACCACTGACTTACACTGTGTGCCTTTATGCTCAGCCAGGGTGCAGAAAGTGGGTTAATATCACAAGATCTTTGGTGATGCATCAGCAGCAAAACTTACGCCTTCATAAGATCTTGCCACACATTTGGATTGAAATTATTGCATTTTAGATATTTGCCAGTCTTTGGCCAACAATTTAGAAAATAGTTGAAAATCCCAAAGACTGCAAGCGCACATAGCAAAGTTTCTGGTACGTTGGATGGATCAGGATGCAGTGAAGCTTATCCTGAAATCAGTTGCAATAAGTGTACTTGTTCCAGTGCATGGAGATGGAGATAACATCAAAATATACTTTGATATACTATCAAAGTTGTTAGCAGCATTTTCTTTTTAAAAATTACCTGGCAATGTATCTTGAAAATGGCTGGCAAGGTTTTGGGCTAAAAATCTATATCTTGGCAACGCAGCTTGCAAATTCTGCAGCCTGGGCTGGCACCAGGCTGAGTCCAGGATTGGAATTTTCCTACTCATTCCTGAAATTTTGTGGTTATGGCATGATAAATTTGTAATACACTTGG